GACTTTAGGCCCTGACATGACCTCGAACACTTCCTGTCACCTCTCAAGTAGAAGGCCACTTGTGACAGCATACCCATCCATAAGGGACAACAAAGGACCTTTTTGTCCTGGTGCATAAGGTAACCGCTGCTACCATCGGAAATGCCCGGCCGACCTTCTGGCTTTATGAATTAATAATTAAGTTGGAACAAGTGACAGGCTGCCTGGTAGGACTGTTCCTCCCTTGGGCCCTGGCCCTGCCTTGTTTCTAGAGCTGGGTCTTTTAGAGGTACGCAGATCCCACACCCTTTAGCTTAAGGTACCAGGGACCAAAGCCCTTTAGGATGTAGGAACTCCTGATCTGTGCATACGGCATTCAATTTGGCCTGTCATCTAGCTGTCTGGTCTGTGTCATCCAGCCAGCTGTATGCCTGAGCAGCTCTGATTAACCTCCTTGCTACATCCGGGGGTGGAAGCATTAGCTCAAAACAAAATGCCATGCCCATGCAGGGTGGGAAGAAACACGGGGGAGCTCATTATTGCAGGTCCCCGAGCTGGCAACTCCAGCAACTGCCACCTGCTCTCCCACAGACAACACAAGTTTCTCTTTGGAACAGCTGGGAGCCACCCAGGAAGCCCCCAGGAGACAGACAGGGGGTGGCTCTCACTCTAATCTAACCAAATCTCATCACCAAAACATGCAAGTTCCAGAACATTCCATATCACCCAGAACCCATCCTATCAGCCCTTAGGCCCAATGCAACTCAGTATTACCAGCTTCTTGCTGTAACGTACTTGTCTCTCCTGGGCATCCCAGGGACCTGTGCAGCTGCAGGTTCTGTCCTTCACCCTCTGGAGTCTCTCTCTCTCACTCTGCCTGCTCCCTCCCTTTCCCACCCACCCCTACACTGGAAACCGCTCTAGAGGATCTGCTTTGGATTCAAACCCCGGCATCTGAGCTCAGCCTCTGTTCTGTCTGTAAACTGGCCATAAGGATCCCGCCCTCAAGGAGCTTTTACAGGGGGCGATGCTGAGCAGCTGCTGGTTGTGGTGGCGCACACCTGTAGTCCCTGCACTCAGGGGGCAGGTGCAAGAGGCTCTCTGGGAGTTCAAGGCCAGTCTGGTCTACAAAGACATTCTAGGACAGCCAGGACTGTTACACAGAGAAACCCTGTCTCACAAAAACAAACAAACAAAAGAAGTAGATGTTTTAATTCTGTCACTCCCTACCCCCCATTTTCTAGGGACAAGATCTCTCCATACAGCCCAGGCTAGCCTCAAACTCATGCTCCTTGTATTGGGATGATAACAGGTGTGTGCCCCCATACCAGGGACAGGTGGCTTGTGATGGTCCGGTATTGAGAACCTAGAGGGATGTGGAATAAGCCCCCTTTTGTGGGGTTCCCAGGGTCGACAGCCTACCACTGCTGGGGAAAGTGGCCTTGGCTGGCTGCCCTCAGGCCTTAGTGGCTGGCTGAGCACAGAAGTGTCAACCCCATGCCATGCCAGCTTCCCTCAAACCACACTTTTCATCCAGGGCCTGCAAGCGTAAGGAACAATGGACAGGGGCCACTCTCAGACAAAGACACAGGCCAGAGATGGGATGATGCTAGGAGGCTCAAGCAGGAGAGCCCTGAGTTCAATGCCAGTGTGGCCTACATGAGAAGACTTTCTCAGAATTTTGTAAATGGGGGAGTCAGAGAAGCACTTGCCTAGCATGTGTGAGGCGCTGGGTTCCAGCATAGTTCTGTAAGACAGAGAACTATGGTGCAAGAAATCACCTCTGGGGAATTAGATTCAGTGGAAAGGAAAGACAGAAACCAGGCTCCAGCCAGCCTTGGCTCTCCCCTGGAGAGGGGACTGTCCCTCTCATCCATCTGCGGAGCCTCCATGACCTCATCCATGCAATGGGCCAGCAGTGTCCCCAGCAGGGCCCAGGAACAAGACCTCACTTGGCTCTTGGCAAATGGCATGGGCCTGAGCTGGTCCAAGGTTCCGCTGCTTCTGGCAGCTTCCTGGCCTCTCTGCAGGCGCGGAGAGATGGGAGACAGACCCCCTGCCTTTCCCAGGAATCCTCCTGGCTGCTTTCAATCAGGAGCCCAGGAGTGGGGCACAGACTGAGGGAGCACCCCAGGCTAGCTCAAGACCTCCAGGGCCCTAGGCTGTGTCCCGCCTGGATGGAAAGACTGTTAGGGAGCAGTCTAGGCAGGCACCTGGCTTGGTGGGAGGGAGGCTTGAGATATGAGTCAACCAGTGCGTTCTCACCATGGAGGGAGGCGACATGTGGTGCCCCATGTCCGGTGCAGTCGGCTGAGCCCCCCCCACCCCCTGTCAGGCATATTTTCCAAGGGGTGGCTCAGGCTGGCATGGACAAGGGGCCTGCAGGAGGAGGTAGCCCTCAGCTCAGTGACACTTTCTGGGTTATGAAGGACTCGGCGACAGCCCACCCCACACCCTGTGTGAGCCCCGTGGGGTCTCATTGCCAACCAGCCACTCTGTGGAGACCGAGGGCACATTTTAGGGGGAGGCAGTTGATGGTCTGAGGAGGTGATGGGAGGAATGGGGGCGCTAAGGGACACTGGGTCTGAGCACGTCCACCAAGGCCACATCAGAGCACCAGGCAGGGCAGTTGTCTGGAAGGAAGCCCTAGACTATGGTGGCAGGAACTTTGCCCTGAGACAGGACAGAGAAAAAAACATCTGAAATCTTAACCCAGGGCAAAGTGACAGTTGGGAGTCTCCCATATAAACAGCAAAATCAAGTTGGGCAGAGTGGCCCAGCATCGGGAAGGCTTGTGCAGAGGTCCTGGGGTGAGGAAAGAAAAAGCAAGCCACCATGGCAGCCGGCTCCTGCCCTGGAGATCATAATACATGGTGGGGACTCTCCATGCCCCAACCCCTCCACTCCCGTCTGTGGGACTGCAGGCAAGACACTTCTCTCTCTGAGCCTCAGTTTCCCTCCCGAGAGGAAATGGCCACATCTCTACTACCCTTCCTGGAAGATGAGGGTGAAGACCTTCTGGGTGTCTTATAAAGTGCTCGCTCAGGGTTGGGGGTGCAAATCCGAGTGCAATGGGTCCACAAATTGTCACAGTCAAGCCCTGTCCAATCCCACACCAAGCCCAGGGCCTTCCTCCCTAATGTCACCTCCCAGGTCCACACAACTGCTCAGAGAGCAGAAAGGACTCCCCAAGACTGCTGTGCAGACTGAGCCTGGAGGACTGCTATGTCACCCAACACTCTCACTGACATGACCAACTGCCTCCTGCCACAGGGCCTTGGCACCTGCTACTCCAATGCTCTTGCATGGCTGGCTCCTTCTTAGTTATCTGGGCCACCTCCACATCCTCAAAAACCCTCGTTCATAAAGATTTGTCCAATGGGTGAAAGTGCCCAGACTGTAACCAGCCACCTTCAGGGCCCTGGGGACCCCAGGAAGCACTATCTCCGGGGTGTAACCTCAGATCCGCCTCCCAGGCCCCTGCCTGTTGGACTTGAATTCTGAGCCCAGGCAGCAAGAGGAGAAGCCGCCCCAGCCTCCTCAAGGCAGCCACTAAGCCTGGGCGCAGCATCTGTCACCGTGGGAGGCTGGGCCCAGGAAACTGACAAGGCTCCCAGCATGCTCTGCGGCCCATCACTGTCAAACCCACGGCCCGCAGGAATTCCCCCAGAAGGCCCTGGTTGCTACCAGGGTGGGGGACCCAACCTGCACCCGGAATGCCAGCCGTCTCCGCACCAGCTGGGACAATCGGTCAAACTGAGGCAGGAGGGGGCGGGGACTCCTTCTGTCCTCCATCACGTGGGCCTCGGGAGGCGGGCTCACAAAACTTTTGGTTTGTGGTTAAGATGAATTCACAGAGGAAATACAAAAGGGGGGTGGGGTGGCGCACTGCCCTGGGAGACTGAGGCAGGGGAGGGTCCAAGATCCCAACAGCCTGAACCCCACGCGCTCCTGCTTGCCTCTCACACAGGCAGGGCGCACACGCTCCTGCATGCCTCGCACACACAACCGCACCCACGGCTGCTTGCCTTGCACAGTGCGCGCGCACAACGCCCCTCGCAGACGCTCTCGCTCGGGCCGCCCCTCCGGGGGCGCCGTCGGGCGGTGTAAGTGACTCTCGAGGATCCGCCGCACACCCTTGCCTACCGCCTGCAAGGGCGGAGACGCGCAGCACTTGGAGACTTTCTAGGACTTTCTAGGACTGCACCGGCCTCTCGGGAGGCGGCTGGCAGGGGCACCCTCCTCGGGTGGGGCTGACCCGCTGCTGGCGACTCGGCAGCACCCTCCCACCCACCCACCCCCACACCCCGCCTCAGCAGCCACGGGCCACCAGCCTCCCATTGCACGGAGGAGGCAAACGGACTCAGAGACGACGCGAACCGATCGGCCCAAGGTCACACAGGCTCCTGTCCGGCCACCCGCCTGCCCACTCTGGCGCACGGCCGGGACCACGCGGCGCTTCCGAGCCCAGGGTCGAGCGCGGGGCGGACGGGCGCTCGTCCACGCGTGCCCCGCCCGGCCTCCCCGGGTCCGGGGGAGCGCGGGCCAGCTCGGAGGACGCGGGGCGAGGGCGGGGGACGCAAGGGGAGGCGGGAGGGTGACCCCCGCCTAAGGTCACCGCGGGCCGCGCGGCTCCACCCGCTCCCGCCACTTCCAAACTTTCCTCCGCCCTGCGCAGCCCGCAAGCCGCAGACTTGCAGGTGCGGCGCGCGCTCAGCGCTCTCCGGGGCTGCTTGGCGTCGTCCCTCGCACCACGACCACTGGCCGGGCTCCGCGCCCGGCCAGGGAAGGCTTGGGTCCTGTCGCCTCCGGGGCCACCATCTCCCCCTCCCCCCCCCCCCAGCCGGGGTCCCGGCCCACCCCTCCCCGCGGCGTCGCCCGCACCTATCCGTAGCGGCGGGAGAGCGAGGCACAGAGAGGGCCAGCCACTAGCCCAAGGTCACACAGCGCGGAGGCGCCAGGCGGGGGCATGCAGGCGACGGCCCCCGCGCGCGAGTGCCCGGCCGCCGCGTGGTACTCACAGCCGGTCTTGCTCTCGAGCTCCCGCACCTCCTCGGACGCCGAGTGGGCAGCGCCCATGGTGCGCGGCGGGGCCCGGGGCGCCCCCTGCTCGCAGGCCAGGGACTGCCCGCGCTCTCAAGCCGAGCCGGGACGCGGGGACAGCGGCGCGGAGCCGGTTCCGCGTGGGGCCCCGGCGGCCTCTTATAGCGGCGGGCGGGCGGAGCGGCGCGGTCCTAGAGCTCGTCGACTTCTCATTTGGCCGCGGGGGCGGGAATGGGGGGGGGGGAAGGGGGGAAAGGACTCAAAGCCGTCATGCTCCTGCCTCAGCCCGGAGGAGTGGGGTTGGGAGCCGGGAGATCCTCATCCTACCGCCCACCCTCCAGACCCCACCGGCGGAGCCCGGGGGACCGGAACAGAGGGGGGCGTGCTAGTGAGCGCAGTCTGAAAGCCGCCCCTCCCCCGCGCCCCGAGCCCCGCACTCTCTGAGAAACGCTGTGCCCGGGACCCGGTAAACTCTAGGCGGTCCTGACCGGCCAGTCCTGCTGCTGCTCCAATCTCCATAAAAGGGGCGCGGTGAGATGCTCACGGCAGGGCGCACTCGGAGCAGGGCGCAGGGGCTGGAGGGTCCCGTGGGATCGTGTCCAGCTGATGAGGGAGGGACTGGTGCTCTGGGAGGGAGGGGCCGGGAGGAACTGAACCTCAAGGCGGCTTGGGGGCCGGCCATGCCCTGCTTGGTGACACCTGAAGACTCTGTCCTGGCTGGAAGTGCAGGGGTTCCTAGATCTTGCCAGTCATGGCCGTGGATGGGCCCAGGTCTTTGGTGCTGGGGCTCTCAGGAGCCCACCCTGGCCAACTCAGGACCTGGGCCCTGGCAACTCCTCCAGCAACAGGGGTCCTGGCAGAGCCAGAAGAACCGGCCCCACTGCTGCAAACCCGATTGCCACCCACTCGGGGCTCCTGTCAGCCCCTGGAGATCCTCCATGAAGGTCCTCCCTGGAGGTCCTACGTCCTCCCTACAGCCATCCAGGGCTCACTGAGCCTCCCCACTCCTCCCAGGCCAGGGAAGCTTGGTTGTGGGGCATCGCAGCTGACTGGGCTGGAGGCCTGTGAGGGATTCCACTTGTGGTCCCAATAATTCTAAAAACCTAAACAGATCTTTTTAGGGGTAGGGGCAGGATAGGGCTTCCCAGGTCCCGGAGTATTGGGGTTCCTAAAACATGCCATGATCTATGCCTTCCTTCTGAGTTTCATGTCTAGATTCTGGTTGGGCTTCCAGTCGGAGGATCTGCATTTTCAGGGTCCGCCTCCCTTCCCGGTACCCAGCTGACAGTGCCTTTCCTGGGTGCTGAGTCTTTCTGCCCAGATCCCCCAACGCCCTCCTTCGGGATCTCGGCGTAAACTTCCTCAGGACCCTTATTGGGTTCCCCTATTTTTCCCAGCCGCTGCCAAGCTAGGCACCAGCCACATCAGCCACCTAGAGGAAGGCTGGGGTGTGGTCGCCAAGGAGAGCCCCGCCTCCCATCCCCAGGGGCTCAGAGCAGCCCTCACAACGGGAGAGGAGAGAGGGCAGTTTGGCTTGCCTATTTGTTCACTCATTTAGTGCCCTTTTGCTGATGGCCTACTATGTGCAGGGTCCTGACTAGGTCTGTAAGCTGCCAACAGGGGCAAGATACTACCTTCGCTCAAGATGGAATGGGAGAGACACCAGAACTGAGCAGAGGAGGGCGTGAGGGGGGTGACAGCAGCAAGTGTAGGCTTGGGGGGGGGTGGCAAAGAGCTGAATGTCCCAGTGAGCGGAGCTTCAGAGTCCATAATTGTCCCCACCTGTGGCCCCACAGAGACCGACAGCTCCAGGAAGCTGTGCGGGTGCTGAGGTGGCACCCACCCCTCCCCCTCTGGCAGTGACGTGAGCACCCAGCAGGACTCTGTCCGCACAAAGCCTGCTGCCAATGGTCCGGGACTCCAGGGCTTTCATTCAATCTCACCAATGCTCCTGTTGGCGTCATCGGAGCTAGACTGAGGTCCTTAGCTTGACGTGGGAGCTGACTGCCCTGGGAAGACGCTATGGGTGCCGGGCTCCCTCCTCCCCCAACACAGGCCTCCTTCCCTCCCCAGAGCTGTCTCAGTCACGGAGTAACTAATTGCTTGTCCTTGTAAGCACAAGTCCCCTGGAGGAACTAAAAGCCAGGGGCAGACAAACCTGTTTGGCCCCTGTGCCAGTGAGATTTGCATGTCTGGTCCCTAGGAAACCAGAGGGCAGCTGAGCCCAGAGATGTTGAGCAGGGCCCTGCCTTTAGCTCTGCTGTGCTTGTTCAAGTGGGTGAGGTCACCTCCCAGAGCCTCAGTCTCCCCATCTGTAAGATGGCAAGAGCAGTGGTGTTGTCTTCCTGGGGTGGCTGTGAGGGTTAAATAAGGACTCATCTGCTCCCAGTGCCAGGAATGACAATGCCCAGGTAATTGTCCTCTAGGAAGTCCATCGGTGGTGTTTGCCAATTTCAACAGTTTAGAAGACAGACTGCATGGGCGGTTCAAGCAGGAGCTCAGCAAGGAGCCTGCAGGATCCTCTCTGCTTAACGAGACTCTGCACCAGCCAGCTGAGTCTGGCATGTACCACGGGGACTGAGGTGGCTCTGCATGTCCACATATGCAGGCCGTGCATTGGCTCTGGAGGGCTCTGCAAACTCCAGTCTGCAAACGGAGATGTGGGAAGCCATCACGGCTCTCCACTTCGGGGGCCTGAGGGGACACCAAGCACATCCCTGTTCTATTGGTAGGAGACCCCAGTGGGCTGTGAGTCACAGTCAGAGCATGGATTTGAACACTTAGCAGCCACCTCTATGATTGTGTGAGTGTGGGGTGACTGCCCCAGTTTTAGAATATCGGAGGGGTACAGAACAGTTTTCCTTTCCTTCCTTCCTTCCTTCCTTCCTTCCTTCCTTCCTTCCTTCCTTCCTTTCTCTCTCTCTCTCTCTCTCTCTCTCTCTCTCTCTCTCTTTCTTTCTCTCTCTTTCCATTTTTTCAAGACAGGGTTTCTCTGTGTAACAGCCCTGGCTTCCTGGACTCACTTTGTAGACCAGGCTGGCCTCAAACTCTCAGAGATCTGCCTGCCTCTGCCTTCCGGGTGCTGGGATGACAGTAGTGCGCCACTGTGCCTGCCTGGCCACTGACTCCAAGAAGTTAAAAGGGACTCTAAGGCAGCACCCACCTTGACAGCCAGACCACATAAAACAGGAGACCATCAGCAAGGCTCCTGTCAAATTCTTCTAGGGACACAGGTGTTCTGGTGCAGGCCTGTGATCCCAGACCTGGGGAGCTGAGGCAGGAGGATTGCTGGGGACTCATAGCCAACCCGGGATACATAGTGAGACTTTGTCTCAGAAAAGGGGGTGGGGGAGTTAGGGTTCAGTTAGTACTAAATTAGCCTGGAATGCAGGACAGCCTGGGCTCCACCCCCAGCCCTGCACCGACCATTCGTGGGACTCCTGTAACTCCAGAATTTGGGAAGCGGAGAGTTGAGAACTCAAGGTCATCCTTGGCTACACAGTGTTCAAGGCCAGCCTGGGCTACATGAGACCCTCTCTCAAACAAGGGCGGGCAACCTAGTGGCGCACTCCCCATGTCTCTTGAGTGTAGTTCAGTGAATAATGGTGACCCACCAGGGGTCTTCACCAGGCCTTTTTTATTAAATCATGCTTTGATTTGGAATCTGAACTCAACAAGCAGACCTTATCCTTGGGGACCTTGAGAGCCCCCTCCCCAGGTACCTGTCAGCCTGGGTGACTGGGTATTGACCTCAGGCCTCTCATTCCCAGCGCTAGCTCCTTCTAGGTTGCAGAACCACTGAGCCCCCAGGACTAGAAGGACACAGTTCCATGGGGCAGGGGTCCTAAAAATAGGAGACTGGGTCTCCCTGGGGAGGGCGGCTTGAGTACACTTCTCCATTATTTACACAGCTATAAATAGTGACCAATAGCTTGGTCTGGCAGGGGCTAATGGAAGCTTGTCCCTGGATGGGCTTCAAATCTGCTTGGGGAGGCAGCGAGAGATGGCCGGGGGCCCAGAACCCATTTCAAATTCACTGTCCCTCCTATGGAGGGTCAAGGACGGGTGGCCTCAGGATCAATGCACACAGGTGAATGACTGTGGCTCTCCTCACAGCCAAGTGCACCCAGTCTCTGAGGGGCTCTGAGGAGCAGCCTCCATCAGCACATCAAACAGGCCCAAGGAGCTGTGTTGGTTTGTGGGCATGGGGAGGGGGGCAGTCAGGCCAAAGAGGGAAAGCCTTGAGGCTGCTCTGCGCTGACCCAAGCAAGCACACCAGGGGATATACAGGGAAGAGGGAGATGGAGGGATGCTGCTCCCAGAGTAACAAGAGATAGGCCACTGGCCCGGGCCCCGCCATGGCTGGCTTTGAAGGTGGAAAAAGAGACCGTGAGCCAAAGAATGCATCGCAGGACAACAGATCCCCTTCCCCAGGCTGCTAAAGAAATGCAGCCTGCAGATGGTCCACTGAGACCCTCAGCTCCCAGAGTCGGAAGGTAGACCTCCTGTAATCTTCCAAGCCACAAAACCGAAACAAAGCAGAACAAAAACAAACAAAAAACAACAAGCGGGGACAGAGCCTGATCTTGTAAGACCCCCAGGGCCTCAGACACAGTGGGGACTGGGTGGGTGTTCTGTTTAGTTTGTGTGCGCATGAGTGTGTGTACAGATTGCCTGGGGTTCTTTTTAAAAAGTCTGGCTCCTGAGTCCAGCCTCGCAGGCCAGAGCCTGGGATGTGGGCCTTTCAAGTGACAACCTGAGGTGGTTCTGGGGCTGACTGGTTGCAGGTGTGTGTGACGTTCCCATTGATTTCCCTGATTACAATCAATCAACCTGTGGAGCGGGGCTCAGTGACACACGCCTGTAATCCCAGCACTCAGGGAGGCAGAGGTTGGCTCTCTGTGAGTTTGAGGCCAGCCTGGTCTACAAAGCAAGTCCAGGACAGCCAAGGCTATGCAGAGAAGCCCTTGTCTCAAACAAACCGAAACAAACCAAAAGCAATCAACAACCCGGCTAGCTTTAGTTTCCTCCCAGGGCTGTGTGACCATTGCTACAGTCACCTTTACCACATTTTTCTCATTCCCAAAGACATCTCACACAGGCAGCCATGATCCCGAAACCCCACCTCCCCGAACGGTCCCTGGTACGC